GCTGGATGTGGTGGTGCACACCTATAATCTCAACACTTGAGAGGCTGAGGTAGGAGGATCTCTGCAAGTTCAAGGCCAGCCTGGACTACATAGTGAATTCAGGGCCAGCCTGAACTACAAAGTGAAATCCTGTCTCAAACAAACAAACAAAATTAGGTTAAAAAATAAAAATGTGTTACTGTGAAGATATACTTCCATTCCAGCTGTCTGTGTATATGCACATACATTTACTATATATACTGTATACATACTATACATTAAAGAAAATACTTATATGAACTATATTTTCATTTCATGATAGGAAAAAAAAGAGAACAGCAAAACTTTAAAATTCTCTACAGAAACCAACTAGAAAACATTCTAATTTATTAATAATCTTATTATTTAAAAATGAGTCCATTCATAATTATATTTCATTTTTTACATTAGACAACTGACATTGAGACACTGACCTTCGATAATCTCTTAAAATCTTTCCTTAAATGAGTAATAATTTTTAAGATTAAAGTGAAACGTAAGATCATAGCCATACTTACTGTTTAATTTAATGATATTTTCCATTGCAAAACCACTAATCCTTCTGAGTCATCAATTTAAGAAAAAATTTCACTATATGCTTCTACCCCTCCCTACATTCCTTTGTCCATTGCATGCAAAGACAAAAATAAGGTATGAAAAACAACCAAGTTTCTTTGAAATCAAAATTTTTAAACTTTGCACTAACTCAAAAGACCCTGCTCTAAAGTTTGGAAATTTTTAATATATTTCTATCATCCACTGTAGGAATACATATCCACATATTCATAATCACAAGCTTTGGAAAAGCTTTAGACAATACTAAATCATTGTAGTTATCAAGATAAGGGATTTTATGTTGGTATTTGTCAGTGCTTATGAATAAATCTATTTTGGATCTCTTTTTTTTTTTTTTTTTGGTACCGGGGATCAAACTCAGGTCCTTGAGCATGTGAGGCAGGTGGTGGGTGGAACCACTGAGCCAAATCCCCAGCCCAATTTTGGAATCTTTGTTAGTAGCAGGCCCAGTGGCTGTGGTTACAGCTACTCAGGAGCTGAGGCAGAAGGATCATTTGGGCCCAGCAGTTCAAAAGCAGCCTGGGCAACACAAATTCTGTCTCCAAAAGAAAAGAGAAACCTTTGCAAGAAGTATTTATCTTCCTGCTCCATTCCACCCATCCCATAATGGCCTGATTTCTCCATACCTAAAGTCTGTTGCTCAAAAAGAGGCACTAGACACCAGGCGTGGTGGTGCATGCCTGTAATCCCAGCACTCAGGAGGCTGAGGCAGGAGGATCGCAGTGAGTTTGAGACCAGCC